TGGGGGGTGGCCGCCGCGGACCCCAGCCTCGGGGCGGCAGCGGCAAGGGCGTGAGCGCAGCGGAGAATAAACTGATCTCTAGGGAGCGTTAAAAAATCGATATATTGGGTTTGACGTGAGGATTTTGTGTGTAAAGGTTAACGGGGTACATACGTTGTGGGGCTGGGGCCGGGGCTCTCAGCCCCGCTGAAGCGGGTGGGTAGGGGTACTTGGGGTCAGTGGTGGCCTCTGCAAATGCTGAATGGCCGTCGGGACGTTTGTTTTGTTGAAAAAAAAAATCGCTTTTAGAGACTTTTTTTTTCCTTTTATTCCCTGAGTCTGCACCAGTCTTACCTGCTGAGAAGGGTAAATATATGGAAAAATCCAAATACCACATAATTAATATGCTTTGCTGAATGTCACTGGTGAGTCACATGTCTCTTCATGACATGCAGCTCCCTTTGTGCTGAAATTTAAACATTGTAAATAAGTGATTTTAATAACTAGAATTTGCTTGCCAGGCTTGAAAACAGTTTTCCCTGAACACTTGAAACTTTTGCTCTATTTTTGTGTATTTTCCTACTGTGTGAGAAAAGCTTAAAAGTATGGTTTGCTCATTGTTGCATCAATTCATTGGTGTGTTCTTCAGTGATTGTAGCTTACTATTGCTTCCATTGGAAACGGTTTCCATCCCTTTGGTTCTCACAGTGACTCAACTAAATTCTTTTTAAGTTCTGTTGAATTTTTTTATGTTGGATAAAACTTCTAAATAGACCTCTTCACCTTACGTGGTCAGGTATTGGCCTGATTTTCAAAAGCAAAGGGCATTCATGAATCTCTCCGCAATCCCAGTGAAAAGCAAATCTCATATTTTTAAAAATCAGTTGGTATATACTGTATTTTGTGATGTGGATTGCAGTGAATTCCTGTAAGCATGCCTCAGTGACTTAATGAACCAAAATAACAATAACAATTCTTCTGATTGATAGGATCTATTTCCTCTGAAAACCAGTAAGAGTCTTACATTGTAGGATTTACTGTCAAAGTGACATGTGTGATTAATAAAAAAAAAGTAAACTTAACTTTTTTTCTAGTTGATGTAAGTATGTATCTGATAGAATATATATTTCCATGTGGGAAACTTCTGAACTAATAGCATGGAAGAAGGCATGCAGGGTTGCATGAAAGAACACTGGATACAAAGATTATAAGTCAGAGCTAGGGTAAAAACGATGTTATTTAAAGGGAAGGGGAGAAAACCCAACTTATCTACTGAATTCTCTCTCTTGGGCTTCATCTTTGCCTATCTAGACGGACTTGCTTTTTCTGCAGAGTGACTGACTTTCTGATGAATCATCTGGTTAAATGTAGGACTTGTTCTCGAGCTAATGTATTGCTATGGGAATTTTTTATCTTTCATAAGAATAATGGATTTATTATACTGGCTGCTTGAGAGTAATGATGTCCTTAAGTGTTTGTTTTCTTGCTTTTAAGTGGTCGGGCTTTGTAAACTTTGGGTAAGACATACATTCTTGCCACTTAGAAACTTGAACTTGCTTTTTAAAGTTTAACTAAAGTTTTTCTTTGGGGAAATTTTTTCCAATATTATATTCAGTAATGTTTGGGGTGATATTTATGTTACACACTTGACACCAATAGTTTTGGATTCAGCTAAAGCAGTCACTGACATTTCTTGAAATGGAAAAGTTAAATCAGAGTACTACTTTTTAAAATTTTCTTTTGCTTGAGATAATCATGCTTTTGTCAAAGTCAGAAGGTCTCTCGGAAACAGTTTGATTTGAATGAAATGCCAAAATTCATCCAGCTGTTCTTTAGATATTTCACACTTTTTTTTTGTGCTGACAGTAGCGTCGGGAAGCTTATAGTATCAAGTTTTTCTGTCGTATGGATTGGGGATTTCATTCTCTAGCTTTGTCAGCATAGTTTACTTTGGTACTAATGGTTCTGTTGTTAGCTTCCCCACCCCTGAAAACACAGACCTGTGTTTCCATCTCTTCCTTTTCTTTCTCATTTATCCTTTGTAGTAGTAAATATACAATTAAAAATGTACATTGGATATTATTTGAAGCATTATTACTATTAAAATCAACTTTCAAAATTGTAATGAGAACTCTTCTAAGTTTGCTGTGTCAACTCTCATAATAGATTAAGAATTCAAGTTGCTTATTCCACCAAACAGTCCAGGGTTCCCAGGTGTTCTGTGCATGAAAATAGTGTTAATTGTTATATAAAGCCCCAGTGAAACACCAGTAACGCAGAGATGCAACTTTGGGAATGCTTGTGCTCTAGCTTACTTTACAAGCCACAAGAGAATGCACATCTACGTTTCGGTGAGACCCCAGAATGACTTAGTGAGTGTTTCTCCTGCCTTTTGTTGGACAGGAAGCCTTTGAACTTACAAGGTTGTTATTTATGCATTGGATCTTCAAATCATGCTGTGATAGAGGTACAACATGGTAGTATAAGGGTGTGGGCACATAAATTACTTTGAGTTAAACTGTAATAAAACTTGCAGTGTGTCAGCCGCTTCCAGTCCCATTTGGCCACACTTTGCCCCACTTTATGTATCCTTACTTCTACAGAGAGATATACATCCACAAAAGAGAGGTAAGCTACGCTGTACTTACTGTATTGTGTGGTAGGATGCCTGCTTACAACTGAGTGTACACACCTGGAATTTTATTTGCTACCTGTTTTCCCATTTTATATTGTGTGATGGACATCTCTTAGTTAATAATTCAGCTAAATTAACATCAAAATACTTATCTCGGGCTCCAGTATGGTATCTCCCACTCATACCTCTGCAAGCCTGATGGTAGTGGCTGACTGCGTATTTATTTGGTAGTTCCCTCATTTGTGTTGTGTAGCACATCAAGACAGGGAGGCCCAAGTGCAGCACCATCTTGCTTTAGATGCCTCAGGTGCTCAAGCAACAGGTGGGATACATCTGGGTCTAATCGGCTTTAATCATTCTCTCTAATTTAAAAGATGTAGTGTTTTGTTCAAAGGTTGCCCACACATATACCTCAGTCATATCTGCCTTTGTGCTACTCAGGTAAAGTTAGTAGTTAGTTTGAAGAAGAATTCGGCCGTTCCTCTGGAAGCAGTCTCTGGGCAGTTAGAAGCCCCAAGCAAAAGCCCTCCCTGCATGAGCGGGTCAGCTCTGTTGCATGTGCAGTCGTAAGGCCATGTTTGGAACACATGAGCCTGCATTTCTGCCTGTGACCCCACGCTGTCCTGGTGGGGGGTGGAACAACAGAAGCTCCTGGAAAACAACAAGTATGTCCTGGTGGAGTTTTTAATTGGGCAAGAGCAAAGAAAGCTAGAGCTACAGCTTCCACAGAAACCTATGGGATGCCATGAAGCCTGCTTTCTAATTAATTTCTATTTGTCGATGGATTTTTTTTCTAGTTTCTAATAAGATGTCAGCTCAATCAAAGCTTTTCCTGTCACTGGGGTGGCATTCAAAAGGCCAGAGAGCTGTGTAGGTTCCTCTTGTTAACACAGGAGGTTGCTGCTGTGACCTTGTCCCGGTGGGGTGTATTCTCTCAAAGTTAGTTAAAAGTAACCAAAGAATTAAAAAGTTATTGAACAGAGGGGATGGAGAGAGATGACGAATACACAGACACATGGTGTGATTATAAAACCTCGTTTCCATAGGAAACCAGGCTAATTATAGTGCACCAAAAGTGAATCTATCATGTAATTCCTCAGTGGTCTGTAACTTAATTCCTCCTTAGCGCAAGCACACTTGATAGCTTTCACCTATCTGTACCTGGGAACATGAGCTGCAGTCGTATGAGATTTGTACCCTTATGCAAGAGGCCTGGTTCGGAAAACCAAGGGCTTTCCATTCTCACCTTCGTCTTTCTCCTAATTACTCATGCGGGCAGGGAGCAAGCTGCTGGCTTGTACTACTTAGCTTGCCCCAAGATTCAGAATATTAAGGATGCGCTGGCCTTATTATATGTAGGCAGGCTTGGGATCGTGAGCATGCACGGCACGTATGTGGGGGACACGCTGTGTATCGTGGGCAGGGAGACCGTAGGCAGGCTCAGGGTGCACCTCTGGTAGGTCTGGTCACAAGGCAGGGAGGAGGACATGCAGCACTCAGCATTTGCTAAAACTGGCCCTGTTTTCCACTTGGAAATCTAGGAGCTTCCTTTGATTCTCTCTTGTAGCGTGCTCTATGCAGCCACAGACTGCATTACTGGAAGTCTATTTTTGTTGTGTCCTCTTGATGTTATTCGTATAATATTTATTAAGCTTTATGAACGTTGCCTATAGAGCATTTATTTTCTAGTGGCTCTTCCTGAGCTGTTACTTACTAGTGAGTGGTTGGCCTGTACTTTTTAGTATATAGTTGAGTCCTTGGAAAGTGAACAAATGTCTCTGTTAAACAAATCATTACAGATACTTGGCTGTCATTCTTTGTGAAACCAAGCAATTTTTAACTTGTGTTTTGCAAATACGTTAGTCATAAAACAAATTCTTCAACCTCATCTACCAAATCTTATACCCTGAGAGCATGGCCTTGCAAACCGGATCCTCTTTCTGGCTCAGATTCACTAAATAACTGAAGGGTATGCTTAGTTTCGGTATATACACGGTACCACAAAGTACTTTTAATAGACTAAGCCTCAACTTGTGGAAAGTAATGTCTGTCTTATTAAGGATCATCAGTAGTACCTACGTGCTAAATAGGTTCTCCAATTTTGTACAATAGATTCTTTGTATATGAATCAGAATAGTCATAAAAATGGATTTGTCTGAAAATTTTCACATGTACATCTTGAAGGTATGTAGTCTTACTAAGGCAAAAGCAGCAGCAGAATAGCAACCTCCTTGCTTGTTATGACACAGAAATTATTCAACATATTCATTTTGACATCAAGATAAATGTGGTGACTTGTTTTAGAGATGAAGTAAGTGTGCCTTGTTCCCTTCCCTTCACCTGTGTGGTCAGTGTGGTTTATTTATGAATCTGAAAAGAATGCTAATGCTTTACATCGCAATGCTTCTTGATGTGCAGTGCTAATACTTAAAATGATAGATATAGGCCCAAAGACTGTTCTTTAAAATTAACTTCAGTAAGCTTTTAGCAAATCCTGAGCATTAAAAATATTCCTTTTTCTTTTTTTTTTTCCCTCCTGCTATAAGTTGTGCAGGGAGATAGTAATGCTCTGTTAAAAACAAACAAACAAAACCAAAAAAGTAAACCTGAGGAGAGATTAAATTCATTGTGAGACTGCAACTGCATGACAACAATACATAAGGGTGTTCCATGACTATAATGATAAAGGCTTTGGTCCTTCAATTATAACTCCAAGTGTCCATTGCTGTGATTTGCACTTTACTGTACGACAGTATTTACATATAAAAATGTGGTTAGTATGTCACGTCTGTGAAAGAACTTTACAGACTATAGTTGAACTGTAATTAATTTTAATGACTAAGAAATATGGTGCTCATCATAGATCAGCCATCAGATCACAGACAACTGCAAATTAACAGTTATGAACTTTAGAGAAAGAATTCAAAGAGGCTGCCTCTCCAAATGCATTTTATTCATTTGTTTTGACTAGTCCTGATTAATTATTTAAAATTCTTCAGTGGTAATGATACTTGGGAACATGTTGTGAAGTGTTAGCAAAAGGAGATCAAACTACAGTGTTTTCTTATTAAATCATAACTGAGAAGCAAGGCAAGATAACAGAATTTTTCAAAAGGGGTTTCCTGTTTGTAAATAACTAATGCTTCATTTTGTGTCTGTATTTTTATAAGTTCATAGTTTAGGAAAGGCTGCAGCTGCATTATCCTGGGAATGCAGTGTTTTAAGAGGTTTCACAATGTTTGTCAATTGTGAGATTTTACTGATTTTGTTAAGAAATAAGTAATATCCACAGCTCATCAAAAGAATAAATCTTATAAAATGGTATGAAATTTGAACAAATCCTCTGACCTTTTTTTTGAGCGGAACTCAAGTATACTGCATGAAGATGCACTACTTATTGTGGTTGCAAAACTTAGTAGAGGTACAAATAATAAACAAGAAATAAAGAGTTTGAAAATTACTTTAAAAACTTTGGCAGCATCTTCTCAAAATGAACTGTTATGATTATGTCTTTGTTATTTCTTTCTGTAGGCTTTTCCAGCAAACGCAGTTACAGTTTTTGTGTACTGCAGCTCGGTGACAGTGTTCTTCACAGTAATAAAGGTGGTCAGTTACCGTCTGCACCTTATGTTTGATAAAGGCGAAGTAATTCAACAAAAGCTCTCAAGAAGAAACGGAAGGCAATGTAAAGATACAGAGGTTCCAAAAGGAAACACAGTTCAGCCCTCAGATCGTAGGTAAGGTTTTCGCTGTAGGTTCTGTGAGATGGATGAGTTTGCACCATGGTCCTGTGTAGCAGAAATGACTGTAGAAAGACTCACAGTTTTGTGAGGAATAGCACTTTTAAAAGCCTGCTTAGTCCTTTTATTTTCAGTGGCTCAGCGGGGTTGTGGTGAAGCAGGCAGAGCTGCACCTGACCCAGAGAGTGGGGCAGCAGCTGGGCATGATGGATGAAGTAGGAGGAGATTTGTCTGGGAGGTCCTGGAGAAAACCTGGGAGAAGTTTTCTGGGGAAGCCTTAAATGCTTGCTCTTTCCCCTACCTGCTGTGCTTACCTGCTGGGAAGAGGAGAGGAAGTGGCATGCACCCATCATCAAGGAAAATGCTTGAATATCATGGCTTTGGAAGCCTGAGCTCATGTTGTGTTTGTGCGCTTACAGTAACTTCCCTCTCAGATCAAACCTAGATATGTAAGTTGTTTTTTCCCCTTACGTTTTATTGTGACTGCCTATGATGCTTTTGTGGTCCTGTTAGTGAGGAATGCTAGAACCACTTTTATTTCTTGGGCGTGTGGTAGGTATTTGCAGCCTCTCTACTGAGAAGCCAAGTGCTATGCTGCAAATGAACAAAGTCAGTAAGGCTGCTTCCAGGTTGAAATGGTGTTAAAGGTAAAAACAGTACTGGGCTAAAGACTAGCACAGACATTTTCCAGATTTGTGTATAGGTAGAGTATTCCACTGTACACTTTTTGGAATAAGTGGAGACCTCCCTTGCTGGTTTTTCAAGCTTGAGTCATGCAAACAAATGAAGCTGGCACGTGGCTTCCAGTGTTCCCAGGTGTTATGACAGATGTGAAAAATGCTGAAATAAGGTACATCCAATAGTGATGGCAGCATAGAAATGTCCAAACAAAGCTTAAACCGAGTAGATTTGTTATGACTACCCATCCAGCTTCAGCAGAGAGCTCGGTATAAAAGAACTTTCTTTGAGTACTTTTTGGTGTGTTTGCAGTGGCTACTGCTAGCTCTGTGCAAGCTAAGTAGTATCAAGATTGTTTGTGTACCTCTATGCTATTGCTCTTCTGTGTCTTTACACATGCATGGCTGTGCTGCAGTCCTGGCAGCGACATTGCTGGGAGCGTCAAGGTCTGTCTGCATGGAGACTCTTCTGAGAAATGCCTCTTATGTGTGTCACTAACCATACAAGCTTGTTTTTTTTAGGTTGGGTGATGCCTTTCAGGCTCTGTTCCTTTTTAGTTCTCGGCAGCCCATAAAGCTGTTTCCTCTTTACAGATGTCTGATACAGTTATTTAAGAGGCTCATCAGTTGTTCTAGGCTGGCTCCAATTTAAACAGAGCCTCAGTGTTTTACTGTTCACTGGCTAATGAAATGAAATCAAACTTTAATTATCTCGCCTTTGTTTTGGCTAAGAAGTAGAATTACTTAAAACTTGTGTGTTAAATCACATAACTACTCCTCCTAGGAGGTCTTAGGCACAACAGCACATTTAGTATGTGATCAGAAAATAAAGAACTTAGTATTTTGACTAGATGGATGACAGAAGTTTTCAAACAGACTCTGGTCCTTGGCAGGTTGGTGGATCAAGTTTTTGAAGCCAGCAAACTGCAAAAAAAAAAAAATAGAGAAAGGTGACCGAGACCCTTAGGTAAATAATTTTATAGCTTATATACACCTGTAGGGTTTTAAAAATCAGGGTTTGTTTTTTTTTGCGAAAACCAACCTCACAAACACACAAGCCCAAACTCATAGTTTTTGACATTTCACTATAGTGTTTTTTCTTTTTAAACTGAATTTTTGTTGTGTTATACTCGAGAAAGAGAGCTAGTAAACCTTGTCCAAAAGTACTTGCTTATACCCATGGAAAAACTAGTAGAAAATATGTGTAAAAGAGTTAGTGGATAGTTGAATGCATCCACAAAGGAAGTGATCAAGAATTTGTGATCAAGAATTTGCCTTGTAACATATGGAATTAGTAATGGTTACATGTTTGCCTTGGCTAAAACCAAAGGGAACAACTTTATTTTGTTGTCTAATGATTAATACACATTATGTTTTGCATTTCAAATAGTTGTTTGATTGAAGTTGTAAATGGGCAGTTAGGTAAGCAATATGTATGCAAGGGTACAGTCAAAGGACGTAGAAAGCAAAAACTGTGAAAGGAGTAATGTTTGACTTGTATGTCTAACAAGAAGCCCCAGACAGCCTTTTGTGCCAATAAATCCATGTGCGTGTCAGGCAGGCTAAATGACATATATACATAGGCAGTCTGAAGAGATGTCATTGTATTTCTCGTAGCAATACTCTACTTCCTAAGACACCAGAATCATTTTATATCGAGGGATTTTTTTTTATTCATTTTCTAGCAAGTTGTCTTGGTGAGGAAGGAGGTGCAAAAGGGGTTACAATATTTTTCAGCCCTGTGCTTTTAGCATTGGAGGGGAAAAATGTGCTGTCACTTCATTGTGCTGCATGACTTCTTCCTATTCTGTTATTATTCCTCAGCTTCTTCCCAAAACTCACTGTGATCCTCTGTGGTAAGAAGCATTGCTTTACTTTTTCATTTGCTTCCTTTTCAGCAATAACACCAGGGACAACAGTGTCATCAGTGAGGCCAACCAAAATGACTCTACCCAAACAATTCATGACAGTTCAAGGACACAGGCTCTGCACTCGCAAAACTCACCTGGAGCAATGGTTAGTATGCGGTTTCCTGTAATAAAAGCTTCCAGTCGGCAGCTTACCGCATGGAGTTTTGCGTTGCCAGGTTCTGAGCACTTGCAGCGTAGGTCTGCCCTGAGGAGGAAGGGTTGTTCCATGGATCTGCTAGGTATATCACTGCTGTCGGACAGCCTTGTCCTAAAGGTCTAGGTTTGCAAAGCTAAAACTGGTATACATAATTCTGCGCTTCTTAGGAGGGGTCTGTCTGCCCTACGGATACCAAATGGCCTTTGTAAATCTTGCCAAGAACAACTAGTTTTGGTGGCTGCTTTGAGAGAAGGGAGAGGCTAATACAATCAGAGCAGCCTCTCATTGCCTCAGAAGGGATCAGCTACTGGAGCAGTAATAATTTAGTTTTGTCTAACTGGACTTATGCTTATAAAATGAACACAACACATCTCTTGATTATTTAAACAAAGCATAAAAATGTTATTTAAATCTAGGAGATGTCTGCACGAGGTTGAGAATACATTTATGTCCATGCCATGCCATTGGCCATGCTTTCTAAATCGATAGTATATGAAGCAATGAAGGGGATGTATGTAGATGTTATTAAAGAAAAAAATAGGAAACACCCATAAGAACGTTGAAGGGTTAAGTATTCAAAAAAATTAAGAAACAGAAAAATGCTGTCTGTGTAATCTTAAACTTCTCCCTGTGTATACTGTGATAAAATCTTTAATTATGTGATCCCATGCTATTTTTTCTACAGGACTCCTGCCTCAGTCAGTGCAGAGGATGGTTAGTGATCTCTGAATAAGTCGCTATTTGATACTTCATTCGTCTTCATATCCCTTCACCCCCCACCCCGTGTCCCTATTTACTGCAAACAATTCAAATCTTGGTCTGAATCAGAACTATTTCCTTGTTTCCTGGAGTGTTTTTACCTTTTTGTAGCATCTGTATGATTCACAGACATTAATAGTTTTCTGAGGTAAAATATTTTTCACCTTGTTTCTGTCCTAGTCCCCGGTATTCTGGTATTTGTCCATTCTGCAGACCGACTTCTTGGTATCTTGTCCAAGTCTCCCACTTCCAAACATGTAGGCTGGGTCTTGTCAAACCTAGTCTCCTGTTCTTTCTGCCAGGATACCACTGTGAAGTTTTAGGATTATTTTTTCTTGGTTGTGGTGCCTGTCAGTCAGAAGAGAGCCACATTAATTTTTACCAATAACTTTTTTCTAGTTATGCACTTAGGCTGTTGAATTTAGACTCCTAAGTATTCCTCTGGAGTATTGTGTTTAGTTTTGAGCTCCCCAGTGAGTTCCCACAGGCATTGAAGTGCTGATGAGAATCCAGTAGAGGCCACCAAGGTGATTGAGGAACAAGATACATGATGTTTAGCCTTTGTAAGGCTAAAACTTTTTGTAAGATTGGAAGAAGAGCGTACTACTGTCTTCAGCTTCCTAATAGTAAGATACAGAGAAGTCTGAGCACTCTCTTCTCAGAGGTGCCCAGTGACAGGATAAAAGACAGTGTTTGCAGCTTGCAGCCATGGAAAGCTGCAGTTAGATCAATTAGATCTATTTTTTGTGTGTGTGTGGTTGGTTGGTGGTTGTTTCCCCCTCCCCCCCCACCAAAATGGTGGTCAAATACTGGAAGATGTTGTCCAGAGAGGCTGTGAAATCTTCATCTTTGGAGATATTCAAAGCTCTGCTGGAGATGGCCCTGAGCAACCTGCTCTAACTGTACTTGCTTTGAGTGTGTGTGTATGGCGGAGGGCGTTTGAACTAAATGACCTCCAAAGCTTCCTTGCAATCTAAATGATTCTATGATAATTTAATGAGATTGTCCTCTAGTTTTCCATTGAGAGATTGTTACCAAGTACTGGAGACCGAATGTTTCACTTTAGTGCTTTGGAAACACGTAGCTGGAAAAGTGGAACAGATGAGCACGTTCTATTTGTTAATAATTAAATATATATATATGGATTAGCACTGCAAAAAATGTTGTGTTTTTTAAAACAATCTTAGATTTTTTTCCTTCCCCAAACATCACACACAATTGCAATGATGCAATTTGGAGCATGACTTCTATAACCATCTCCCTCACCCACCCCTTGCATTTTGTGCAAGCTACATGTTCAAATTTCAGTGATGTTAAGCAACTTACCAATGCTGTAATTAACCTTTAATTAGATAGCTAATGCATTGATAGGTGTGTTTTCCAACAGAATTTAATAAATGCCCATGCTAATTTTGTGTGTTTCTTTTTACTTTTAGGAGCTGCCAACACGGGAAACTATTGAAGATCTCAGAGGTATGTTAAAGGCTTTATCAATCCTTTTAAGCCTTTGTTTAATCATTGCTTGCCACAAAAAAAAATGACACGGAGGATCCCATGGCAAGTTCTGTTGTGCCTCATGTTAGGAGCTGACTGGAAAAGCTTGAGGGAACAAAATCTCCAGGTAACTGTAACAGACTAAGCTTTCTCAGCTGTCAGCCAAGGTGTTTGGGATGGAGCCTTTTGGTGAGCATGCAAGTAGCTCTCTCCATTTTGACATGGGGGGATGAAAGAGCCTTTCCTCCACGTTCTTGGAAAGCTCTATGCCTCTGTAAAGCGTTAAACCAGGAAGCCAATGCTCGGATCACATCTTAAAGCCCTTAAACGTCATCTGACTTGTAGACTCCTGTTGCAATTGTTGTTGACCTTTAGCTCTGTAGTGTGTACTCCAGCACACCTTGCTTTGCCTACAGTTCCAGTGCTTGAGATGTCTTGATATATTTTAGTTTATCTCCTTTTCGTTAAGGTTGATCACCGTATCCTGTGGTGCCATTTAGGAATTGCACATAGCGATGTAACAAACTTCTGCCACACTGGCTTATTCTTTCCCTCATCTCTCCCTAAGTTGGAATAATTCTGTAAAACACTTTAGTTTTGATATTAGTGGTTTCTTGAGCTATTTTGATTATTGAAATTAAGTAGACATGCTGCAACACCTGTCCTGGACCTGGAAGGATTCCTGCTTGCTTTAATAGTATTTTACAAGATCCTTGCTTAGGAACTGCTTTAATCAGCTGCATCCTCTGTGCTTGCTTCCTTTGCTCTGCTCTGGATCAGATTTTGCTAGCTAAAGATCGTACTTCAATAATGCACAGTGTTCATGTTTGTGAGACCTAACTCCCATATGTTTTTTTTATTAGGTGTTATGGTATTAGAAGACCAGGCTGCACCACTAGTTTCATCTACCTCACCCTGTATCAAAGCAGATATATTGCCTGTTTCTACAGCCTCCACTTCAGGTGCCACCACATCAGCAATAGTGACAAAACCAGCTGCTACAGAAAAACTTTCTGGTAATGGAATAAATGAAAAAGGAGAGAAGGGACAGCCTTATGGACAGCAGGGATCCCAAGATGTTCTTGTGGACAGAGATTTAGCTAAAAACTTCTCCAATATTTCTTCATCACAAGGTGATATTTTAAGGACCGGAGTTTCTTCAGAGCCATGGGACAGTGAAAATTCAGTTCCTTCAGACCATTTGAGTAATCCTAAAAGCTACAAAAGAGAGAAATTGCCAGATGGATCACCACAGACAGGCTTTAACAGTAGCTGCCCACAGTGCAGTGCCATTGCAGCCAAAGATCCTGAGCACTTGGAAGGTTTTTGCAATGCTGGTAATACCCATGAGGACCTTGATTGCTCAGACAGTGAGACTGCTGTTGCAGTTCTGGACAACTCTATTCCTGGAGACCAGCTATGTGAGCCCATTAAAATTGTCATCACAATGAGTACTACACCAAACACCACCCTCAGTGACCTAGTAGACTCTGTCCACCTAAAGGCTCTGGGAACTGAGAGAACGAGCTCAGCCCTCGAGTCTGGTATAGTGACAGCAGGTTGGCCAAGTCAGCAAACTAATGAGCAGCTCAGAATCCCCATTATCACTTTTGACCTGTCTGATGACAGTAAAGGTAAGGCTTTCCCAGAAGTTAGTGAAAGTGAAAGAACTCCAGAAATTTTAAAGGCTGAGCTGTCATCCAACCAGTGCTCTGGCTATGAATCGGGCGATGCAGTAAAGGAACACAGCAACCCAGCAAATAGTCCTTTAGAAACTAACACTTGTTCAGATCCAAATCAGGAGAATGCTTCTGAGAATGTCCGGACTGTGGATTTATCTTCCAAGGAAGACCTGCAGAACCTGGACCCGCAGTCCTGTAGAACCGCTCATGAAAAGAGGCATATGCGGGTGCTGAGCGTAGACAGTGGGACAGATGTGCTTTTAAGTAAGAATTTAATGGAGGTGTCTGACAAAGAAAAGACCTTACCAACTTCTAAATCAGATCTAGAAGCTAAAGAAGGACAGGTGCCCAATGAATCTAACTTTCTAGAGTTTGTCTCCCTCCTGGAATCCATTAATACTTCAAAGATGAAGGCATCTAATCAATCCACTGTCAAAATGGAGATGACAAAGGAAAATGGGCTTGTTGGAGGTATGATATGTGGTTTACAACTCTTTCGAAATAAAGAAGTTGTGACTGGTTACATTATTTCTACCAGCTTAGCCTGAGATCTGCAGTAGGGCAAATTCCCAGAGGAGAACTGGTTTTGCTAATAGGGCCAGGGAAGGTCTGGGTTTGGTGGGACAAGGTGATCTAGTGAAAGTGTGATAGTGTCAGCTGCAGTTCTTTTAGTATTTTTATTTTCTTAAATATTTTCCTTTGGAAAACCTAATGCTCATCTCAGTAGGTGTCCTCTATATATCTAGTATTCTGCACTAGAGTAGCATGCATGTGGCAGGCCTGGATTGTTAGAATACCAAAAGTATCTTACAAAAATGTGTATATCTATAGCGTCACACTTGCCTTTGGCCATCTTACCAGGTGCATGCTGAAGAGTTGTCTGTGTGTGCCTGTAAGCATGTAGAAAGCTGGAATTATCACTGGTGATGGTTCAGCTTTTAGCTAACACGTGTGTGCACACACATATTCCTAAACTTCCTGCATGGTAGCGGGTTGGTTTATAACTTAAAAAAAAAAAGAAAAAATAGTGTATTTGTTCTCCAATAGGTAACAGTTTTGATTTTTAGTTTCTTAAAACTAAATATTTGGGTTTTAAGAAGGAAAGTTTGATGGTTGTTTTCAATGAAAGCCCCCAGTGTTTTAATGAAAAGTGGTATCTTCCCATGCAAGTTCCTATTTAATCAAAATGGCTTTTATTGAAAACAAAAAACCCTCCATCAGCTAATTTAAAAACCTATATGCAGTCCAATTTATAGCTCTTATGTAGAAATGTCTGGTTTTAATCAGCATGCTCATTTCTGTCACCTAACTCTGTGACCCCGTTTTGTTAGGAAGGAATGATCTTTGAAATGTCTTTAGCAGCTCTCTAGGCAAAACTAGCAGGACTGTTTCATGAGGATGCGAGATACGGTGCAGTGAAGGCAGGTGCAATCTCAGGGTACTTGCCAAGTCAAGTGATCAGTGCAATCAGTTTAGAAGATCTGGACCAAAGTGAAATAAGACAACCCATGTGTACCCCTTCTCCAAAATGTCTGGTTTACTTTAGATTAAGACAGCCTAAGAGGATGCAATCTCAATACCTGTTTTGCATAGAAGGTAAGAAACTCAATGGCACTCGGCAGAACAGCTTGGTGCTCCCGTTTTACAATGGTATCCTTGTCCACAGACAGGCTCTGGGGAGTCTCTGCTCCCCTGGCTTGTTCCAACAAGAACCTTCCATTACATGAAAAACACACAGCTGTTTTCAAAGTTTGTCAGCTTTTTTAAAAAACAAATGTGCAATTCATACTTTTACCTTGTAAAAAAAATAATTAAGTAGACTTATCTTCTCAATGTGTCATTTTCCTGTAGATTCTGTTTATCTTTCACTCTGCCTTTCCAGTCTTTCCTCTTATCTGTCCTGTCCAATGCATTAGCCCCTTACCTCATTCCATCTTTCACTTGTGTCCGTTTTTTCTTCCACTTTATATTTCTAGTTCTGTGCCATCCCTTCTCAGTTTAGCCGCTCCCCTCCTGTGCAACCTTTTTATTTGTCTTCCTCTTCATATGGCTTCTCTCTCATCTGTCCCCCTGATCTCCCTAGCAATCCATGCTGTTGCTCTTCTAGGCTTTTCCACTCTCTTGAGCTCACCTAAAGCCATTGCCTCCCCACAGCTTGCATTCACTTCTCCTGTACTTACCCTCCTCTCCATTCCCTAGTCAAATTTTGCTGCTTCTAGGCCCGGTGCCTCTCTTCTGGTCTATCTTACCCATCTCTCCCACCTTCTCAGACTGTTTGTTCTGCAGAGCAGTTTCTGTCCTGCTCTGTTGAGTTGATCAACCTGCCTGGCTGGCTCCAGTCTGTGCTCCATGGTTGCCTAAGACCTGTGCTGAGTGAGCAAGCCTTGCTTTTCCCCTGAGCCTGCTCAGCTCATCACCTGCTGAGCCCAGAGAGCCCTGCCAGGTCCCCGGGGCTTGGGAGGTCTGGTGCAGGGTCGCCTCTCTGTGCAACAGCACGCAGCAGTATGAGGGTCGCAGCAAGTAGATGGTGATTTTTTTGCTGCTCCTCAACCGTAAAAAGGAGTATTTACATGATAATTTGACTTCTGTGTCATGTGACTTAGCTGGAAAAGAGAAATGATAAAAATTTCAGAGGTAAGTTTAAATAAATAAAAAAACAACCAGGAGAGAGTGCAGCTAATCTAGAAAGGGCTTTCAGACAACTACCCTCAGATAATATGAACGGGCAAGATTGCTGCATAAAATAAAGCAGTGGGTGATCAGAATAAATCAGACTCAGATTCCACACTGATGAAAAAAAAAAAACCTAAACACAAAACCCAAACCACAAAGCAAACTCAAAACTTTATTAATTGTGTAATTATTGTGCTTTAGATCTGAGAAATTAGATTATTCTTACTGGAATCCAAGATCCCGAGGAAACAGAGGGATTCTGCTCTGCTCTCAAACCAAGCTATTACTTAAAGCGACCTGAACTGAATTTCCTACTTGACTATTTTCTGAAGCCTATATGTTTATGAGATAGTAAAGTTGAGCTGTGTACATGTATAATTAAGCAGCCCTGCTCGTCTCCGTCGGTGTGCAGGAGTGGGCATGGCGGCTGTGGCTCCTGTCGCTGCGAGGTGTCTCCTGCACCTCGGACTGGTGCTATAGGAAAGAAGAGATTCAATCTGAACTTTTTAAGCTAGGGAGAGGTAGTTCAAAGGCAGTTATGGTTAAGAGCAAGTATGCTTTGTTTTCTAGCCTAGTCAGAATGTGCTGTTTGCTAAAATAAATTACTGTCATTACTGGCAGCTCCCCACAGAAAGACTGGATTTTAGGAATGAGAAAGCCTCTAATTTGTTTACAGCCTTGCAATTACAAATATGCTTTAACAAAATAACATCTTCGAACAGATCTGAATAAACATTATTCCCACATTGAAGTGGTTGTTCAAAAAAGAAAAAGTGTCTGTGTGTGGGAATACAGAGCAAGTCAAGCTATGCGCCAGTTGTTTTGAGGGAGGAGGTTGGTCGTGTTTGTTTTTTGTTCTTTTAACCTTGCAAACCGCCTAATTGGCAAAAGCCTGTAATAGATGCCCAGTCCAAATGAGCACGAAATGCACCCCACAAAGGTGTTTATTAGGCAGTGTGAGAAACTTGGCAAATTCCTGGAAAGCTGGATATTCAGAGCTGCGTGTAAGAAAGCTGACGTTTTGCAGAATTTGGAGAAGAGGGGAAATGTGCTTGTCAGAACAGTCTGGCGAGTGAAGGAAAGCCATGAGTGGCTCTTTTGTTATGGGTGCTCCCTCGTGGAACTTGTGAGTTCTGTGGAAACTGGAAAGGTATGGTCCTGACCATGTAAACCTTTGCCAGTAGACAGCTCGGTAAAATGCAGTACAAGAAAATTAAAGCCTTGCTTTACACTACCAAGGATGCCAGATTTAATGTGTTAAAATACAGGACTTAGTTTTTTTTTAAGAGCTGCTCTTGCCACCCCACCTCTTCTAGATTGTGAGAAAGCACCACTGACACTGTTGCTAAAAATGACTTTCAGGTCAGCGTCCTTTCAGTTTTGAACGAAACTTGCACCACCCACGTAATGAAAGCCCTTTGAAGGACAACTGCAAATTTTCTTCAGTCTCTGAGAAGGGTAAGGAAAGCTGCATTTATTGGCTGCTTTGGGTCCCTCTGACCATGTCTGGAGCGGAATAAAAGCAGCCATGCATCATATTTATGCAGGGCAAACACTCATGTATGTCCCCTCTGGCACAGCTGGCCCATAATCTAGGACAGGCACCGTTATCACCCAGGGAGCAAAGCCTGCCATGGGAGTCGTGGGGACTGACGTGGGAGAACCTAAACCAGGACTGCATGGCCTGAATTTAGATGTTTTGCAGGCCCTTTTTAGTAAAGGTACTCATCGTTCTGGGCAGTGCACAAACCACAACCTTGAGTGAGTTCTTCTGGATCCCAAGCAATTACCCTTCTCCTATAAAAAAAACTAAAACATACTCCTGTGGGTATTTTTAGACTCCTTGTTGTTGTTTTTTTTTCCCCCTTGCCTGTGAGAAAGAGGGCTATCACCTGCCATATAATCATGGGGAAAAGAGATCTTGTGCACTGAGTCACCAGCCCAAATGACAGCTGTGATGGTAGGTGACAGTAGGGGTGTTTGCTGGCAGGCAGGTTGCACCTAGGACGCACCACCCTGCCAGGTGCTACTGCTGCTTTTGGAGGGGCTGTGTGCCATCCCTGACTCTCACGCCAGAGAGGGACCATATGGCATTTGATGCCCCTCTTTGGATGGGAAGAAATGAGGTGTGGAACTCGATTCTCTAAATCTGATACTAGATGTGTAAGGCTTGGCAGGTTGGGATTTTAAAATTTCAATCTTTAAATCAAAGAGGTAATAGTGTGTTTGATGGTAAGGCTGACGTTTGTAAAGAAACTATGAGGTTATTTGAGGTCTGTATTCTGACATAATTGTTAGGTATGATGATTAGACTACTTACCTGGGACCTCAAAAACCTTGATTTTATTCTGAACTCTGTTGCTGACCTAGGAGATTGTTTTGAACAAGCCACTTCTGTCTACTTGTCCTGTAGCAGCTACTGTGAATACTGCTGTTTTTTTTCCTATCGCTTCAGGATTAATGCGGTGATCCTGATTAATGGATAATCCTGTGTGATTCCTCAGTGCCCATGTTGAACTTTTGTATCAATTCTTGGACTGTGTCAGGTTCCCTGGACACTCCCATTGTTTGGTGGGTGACCAGCTTTAATGTCAGATTTTTCTTGTAATGTTTTTGTAGCATAAGAGGCAAATTTGTGTTAAGAATAAAGTACATAAGCTAGGTGTTTCTGCTAAAGCAGTCGGTGAAGAAAAGGGTTGGGAATGTCCTTAGGATATATTGTCTAGAGATATGAATGGGACAGGTCACAGCTTGTAGAGCTTTTGTTTCATGCTGGTGCTAACAAGAGCATAGAGTGATTTGAAATCAATTATCTATGCGGCTGAAGGGGCAACAATATATTTTAAAGTGAAACTTTCTGTTTTGGAGCATAGTGTTGTGAAAGGAAGTAGATTCTGTAGTGGAGCAATTAATGAACAGAAGAGACTCAGCCTTAATTAGCTTAATTCTGCTTGACCAGATTTCAAAACAGATGGCATTTGAAATTACAACAACAGTGGCATTTTAATTTACAGGAGTGAGTTGTGGAGATTGGGATAGGGACGTACTAGTAAAAGACAAGGAAGAACATCTGGGAGACTCTGGAGAAAGGGCACAAAATCGTAAAAATATTTTACAGAAAAGTTACAGAGCAATCAAATTTCATTCTAACTACTTAATAATAAGACGACTTTAAAGTTGAGATACATCGACAGTTGGTTATTGTGATTACTATAGGTACAAAGGTGGCTCCATTTCAACTGTAAAACTGTTTTCAGCCTCCTTATGGACCAAAGGCTTATCTACAAAGACGATTTAGGATACCTAAAATCTGTTCCACAAGTGGAAAAACTTACACGGCAAAGAAAATTTTGGTAGTGTAACTGCGTTTAAATGAGGATCTCAGTTGTCAGCGTTGGGATATTTTATTTTTAGGTAATGTTGCTATGCTGTACAACCTTTGGTGCCGATAAAAGTGTTTACAGGAAGTATCTTATACCTATATGGGATATATGAGAAGTGTTTATCTTGGTAACAATTTTCCCAGTATAGCTAAAGGATGTATCTTGCGCTTAAGCAAAACGTGAAAATGAGGTACAGACCAAAACTTGGTTGGTTGTGCAGGACTCTTCTGACACTCTTCCTCAAGCCTGACTTAGCCATGAATCCTGACAGTTAAGCCTCTCAAACCTGAGTCATGTGGCATATAATTTCCAGATAAATTATGAAGTTACTTGCGGAGCCTGGGTCTGAGCTTGAGGCTCCTGTGAGCCCAGCTGTGTGTACACCAGAGATGAGTGGAGCAGTGGTTTGGGGTAAGTGGCTCTGGTAGGAGGCTACAGGGAAGGTGCAGGTACACAGGCGTGTCGTGCTTTTTACTCTTCCCTTGCTCTTGGAGATGGTTTTTCCTAGTAACTTGAGCTTTGCCAGCACGTTTCCACGCAAGGAGCGTTTGGTGACGTAGAGCCGATGACGTACCCTGGCAGAACACTCCTAGTCTAGACACCTCTATCTCCATTTAAATACTGAAAGTGTAAGTCACTCAGAAGAAAATGAGTAATAATAGTGAAAAGCAGTCACAAATGCATCATGGCCCACCTTTCCAATGCTGGAAGTACTCATCACCATGGTGTTGTCTGTTTGGCATATAAAGCATATAAGAAGCAGTAAGTTTGTGTTTTTATTATTATGACTCTTTACCGCGGCAAGGAAAAGTCTGCAAGGCTTGTGGTTTGGAATGGAGAAGAGAGGCATTTTCTAAAACCACTAGATAACCAAATTAAAAAATCTCTTTAATTGTTCCAGCCCTAGAGCTAGTTTTGGGCAATATGGGACCAATTAGATTATTAAAACCACAGTTTCTGATCTCTATCAATTATTCTTAAAGCTCCAACAGCCCAAGCCTTTAGGAAGGTGATTTCGATTAGGTGCCTGTGGCTCCGTCACCTCCTGCAGGTACAGTTACATCATTAAGGAGATGCTTCAGTAATGCCACAGTTAAATAAGGCACAGTTTCTGCATAAAATGGAGTTCAAATCTTTAATTAGGAAATGAAAAAAGTGTTGTCTGCTCCCCTCCCCACGTTTTTTTTTTTCCCTAGATGGAAGGAAGTAGGTCTGGAAGACCTATGGAATTTTGTCTCCATGCACAACAGATCCGAAAGATTTCTCTAAACCAAACTTATGCTCATTTTATTGATTGCACAAGAAGTCAGGATCCTTGATAGTCGTGTGCCACAGAAAGAGAACAGGAGAGTCAGAACATTGGCGTTGTTGTAGTGAGATTTTTTTTTTTTTTCCCCCCTCCTGGTGGAAGGTGGAGGAACGCTGCTGTTCCAAGCAAGAGTTAACGTGTTGTCTGTATCTCCGCTGCCCATTGCCTCTTGCTTCTGGTGGCCTGGCTGGTGAGCATCTGTGGCCTCAGTGAGGCTGTTCAGGCTTGGTGCTGCTTGTTGTGTTTCACATTGAGGGCTGAGACCTGCTGGGACAAGATGTGGTGGTGCTATTAGGGTTGTTTGTATGCTTCTGGATCCCACCCCCCTTCCCCCCAAAAGTAAGCGTGAAGTGTCTGCGGTGAAAAGTAGTCGTGTGCGAGTGTCTGAGGCTTTAGGGTATTAGAGGGGTGTGTCTTGTGAATTGAAAGTGATGTCGAGATGTCTCAACTCCTGAAGGTAGGTAGGTTTGTAGAAGCAGTGTGTTATGAGATCAGCTGATATGGTTGGAGGAAAACAAGAGAGATGATCTGAAAGGTCTGCATAACCAAAAGCTTGTTTGCTTTTTTCGTCAGTTGGCCTAATAAAAGATATTATGTCTCTCTACAAGCCTTGAATCTGTTTTATCCTTAGATTATCTTAGCTATGACACCACTATGTCTTGACTGATGACTCTTGCATTTTAGGATGATAATTGTATTGGTAGGAAATATGGTTTAACAAGTGGAATTTTTTGTAGGGGGAACTTCTGTGGCTTTTTCCTTGATATTTGAATTAAAGGCGTTTAAACAGCAGATATTGCGAGAAATCTGAATAAGTACGTTTCAATACACCTTGTTTTGTGCAAGAAGCTACAGGACTCACTGAAGCATCTCCAGCAAGCACCACAAAACCCTTTTTTTCTTTTTTTTTCTTTTTCATTTAAAGCATTTAATTGTGCTACTGCTCATGGTGGTGATAGTCACTTAGTTGCACTTTAAAATCCTAACATAATATTTTTAGTTTACAGTCAAAGCACAGTTGCAAAATGCTTCACTCTTCAACACAAATGTTAGTAACTAAGAGAGACTATTGCTTAAAAGTTGTGCACTTATATATAAGTAAAGGACACACGTGTAGAGAGGCAATATAAATATAATTGCTACTCAAATTGGTATTCAAAGTAGTAGAAATTGGACAAGTCCATAATATATATTTTAAAATCTACAGTTTAATATTTTCCAAGGATAGGAAAATGTACTGTGAAATTGTTCAGCCAGTTTGTCCTTTGTCCTGAGGCAGGTGTGTGGCCGGTGGGGAAGAGAGATTAGGCAGCTACCTGCTTTCTAGTCCAAGAGCCCTGTTTCCTTTGAAAGTGTTGCTTTCCCTTTTGTAAAAGGGGAATGGGCCAGTGCTTCTGCTTTTCCGCTGCCAGTATACACAGCTTGGGAACAAATTACGGCCCCCAGGGAAGCAGCCTCTTACCATTCTAAGTTAGGGAGAGATTGCTTCCCTCTAAAGCAATAGGAGAAGCAAAGCAGAAATTCTCTCTCGTTTGTCCTTTGCTTCACACAGGCTGTTCTTGAAACAACCCATTCATGCAGCCTCCTTGAGTCAAGAGTACCTCCTCATCCAGACGTCTGTGATTGTATTGCTTTAAGTAATTTTCATGTTTTCCATAAATCTAGTAATTACTGCAGCATTCTAGCTTTTCTCTTTTAGATGCTCTTGTTCAGTAGTTAATGAACGAAACTCTTGACAGTCATCTGCAGAGAGTGGCTCCACTTCACTGCCTTGTTTTCCAGATAGCCAGATGACGGAGAGAAAAGAAGAAATGGTGGGAACAGAAAAGCACTGTGAGCAACTTCCTAAACAGGAAAGATCAGATGTACAAAGCCAAGATCGTGCTAGTACTAGTCCGGTGCTACCAGAGTCTGCCAAATTTGCAGCACTGTAAGGCCAGTTTACTTTACAATTTTGTACTTCAAAGATATGATGTAAGCTGTTTTGTTTCACTGAGTAGAAATGACATAAACTTTTAATTAACCTCTCTTTCTTTTTGTTTTATTGAGAACAAGAAAAAAGTTCCTCATAGTAGTTTTGAAACATTTTTGTGTCAAGTTACCAGGGCAACAGGCAAAGGCAGATAATCTACCGGGTAACTTCTCAGCAAGACAGTTCTGTCTTGCAAGTAATAAGTGGACCTGAGGCGTCTGTGCAAGATGAGCTGTCCGTGGATGCAATGCACGTGTTCATAGATGAAAATGGTGAGTTTCTGTAGTTGGAATAATTACAATGGTTGAAGAAATTTCTAAAGAAACTTTAAATGCCCTGGAAGGATATTTCTCTTGTCTGTTACCAATTGCGTGTTTTCTGTGTGTGTGAAAAGGGCTTAGTAAATTAAAGTCAGATCAGCAATAACTAGAGTTTTTGAAACCCACCAGCGACCATCGCAGACCTGAGGCTTACACAGTGCATGAAGTTTATCTTCCAAACATCATCCTCAAAAAATGCTGACTAGGCCAGAATACTACTTCAGTCATTGCATAAGAACCCCTGGTGCTTTCTGCCTAGTGAGGAGTTTTGCACTGACCTGGATGGGCAAAACGTTCCTCCTTTCTACTGTTTTGTTCTTCAGCTGGCTCGGACTGAACTCTCTCTTGACAGTGCGGTGGTTGCTGTTGTTGGGAGTTGTGGTCTGCTACCCCTTTCAAGAGAATTAATTAGCATCCTAGTCTTGCCCCATGCCAATGTTTGGTATGCTGCTGCTCTGCAGCTGTTCCTGGAGACTGAAGATGTAATGTACTTGGTGTTGGTGGTGTGTTTGAACTCCATGTAGTGCCTTGTGAGGTACTGGCCCATAACTCTGGAAGGCAGCTGTCCTGAAAGCCGTGTTTTCCTTGAAACTGCCTTCAAAACCAGCATGAAATGAGTGCTTGTGGTAGCTGGGTTCGTGACCTCAGAGATGCTTTGGTTTTCTGCTGGTTCCTCATGGCCCTGCTTGCAGCCCTGCAGCTCCTGAGGTGCTGTGGGGCTAAGGACAGCAGCTGCCAGTCAGGCAGATGGCATCACCTCGGGGTCAATGAGCAGCGAGCCTTCGCTTTTTGCTGCATATGCAAGGAGGGAGTAGCAGTGGCTATGCTTTTAGCAGAATTTTTCCCTGCTTTGTACCTCCTGACCTCACCTTTGGAAACTGAAAGGAGAAAAAAAAATCTGGTGATTTCACATTTTACAGTGAATTTATATCGATAGATAGGCTTTGCCTTTACATACCTTTTAAATTTTCACTGTAACTTCTGTGTTTTGATTTGTCTCAGGCTTTCAGTTGTTCAACTGCCTGAAGTCTCAAATAAGCCTAGTGCACAGATTGAAAACTGTATTGATAAACGTGCTTATCCTAAAATGTATTTTTTATAAACTTTGTGTGTAAAACAAATGATCATATCACTGAACTGATTTTTTTCCCTCTGTATTTTCTAAAGGGGAAATTAGATCCTGTTATTTAAAGGCTGGCTGTCAGAAGGAAGGAAATTTTCGACATCAGCTATCGAATTGTGATTGTATTTCAAATGCTCAGTAAGTAAGCCCTTGGTTTTAGAAATGTTCCAAGTTTTCCTTTCTAGAAGCTATAAAACTGATTGTAGCTGTGAAACGTGCATGCAAAGAGGAGTGCTGGAGAATAAATGTGCTGACCTCTTCTAGAGATGTCAAAGCATGCATTTTTTGTTTTTCACTAAAACAGTGACTACTTTTTAAGAATATAAGGAAAAGTGAAAGAGAAAACCAGAAATATCCAGTGTGCTTTGATGGCTTTCTGGGAATAGCCAAAGTCAAGTGTGGTGATTATAAATAAGATTGTAAATAAAACAAAGTAAGCGGGACTGTTACCAACTCTTCTCTCAACCCTGTCTTGCTTGCTTCCCCTGCCAGTTGGGTCCTTTGTAGATTTTTAGTGCTGTGTCAGTATCAGCCAGTGGCACTGCTTCCTGTAAATTCTGACAGCAGAGCCTTTCACCTTGCATGAAATCTCTAATGATGGTATGCCACTCTGAAAAGGTATCTGAACAATTCTCTTTTTTCAAACGTCTTTTTGGAGTGATCTGCATAAATCCCATATTCGTTATTGTGGTTTCCACGCTCTCCTATGTTATCTGGTTTTTTGCATATCTGTAAAAAGAATTTTAACTATTCATAAGTAATTTTATTAAATAACTTTGGTTTTCATACTGTTATACAGCATTTGGAAAAGTTGAGTGGGGGGTTATAAGGGTCACTGTTAATGTTAAATATTGTTCTTCAGGAGTTTGGCTTTCAGTGGAGACTTTTGAAAAGCTTGGGATCGTGTTAAGAGCAGTGTTAGCATTTTAGATAGAATGCTGTTACGAGGGACATGAGAACAATGCTTTTAATAGTCAGTGGGTGAAGATTAAGAAAAAAAAATAATTCGAGTTCATCTACAGTAGAAATCTTCTGTCTTTACCAGGTTGAAGTTTTTTTATTTTAATAGAGTTCAGTTTTGATGTAAAACCAAACATTTTACTTTGGGACTATTTAACTCTTGCAGCTCTCTTCGTTTCACCTTGCACAGAATACTCCCCTCCTCCTCCATCATATAAGTATGAACTTGAGTCTGTCCTAAATTCAGAAATAGTTTACTGTCCCCTGACATTTATCAATTAATCTTTTTTTATCAAAAGCAGAACAATTTTTCCTTCTCATATAACAAGTCCTTCTGAATCTGTCTTTGCTACATGCTTACATGACACCTCTGTCTTCCTGTACTATGTTATTATTTTTTTGTTCGTGGCTTGCAGACCTGTAGGATTGTGAATTATTTTTAAGGGGTCTGCTAAACGTTGTTGACAAAAGCAAGTTCAGATAGTCTTTGCAGCCATTTCCATGCATTTAATTTCTAAAGATCAGCACCTTTGCTGGAAATCTCAGAGTACAGAAACAGTTCAGACTGGGAAACAGAACAAATTAGCAAAGACTAGTGGGTTCCCAGGACTGTTTCTGTATAGGAGTCAATGGGAAGACAGAACACAAGAGCTTTTCTGAGAACAGAGCAGCATGAAGGAAAGTACAAAGCAGAAGTTCACATGAAAAACAAGGAAAGAGGACAAGGAACCATGAAGCGTGCTCAAGCTGGTTTTTGCAAGGGCAGTCTGTAATATGTTTAGGCCAGAGAGATTAGTGAGGGCTGTTTGTTCAATGTGCAGTTTCTACCGTCTGTGCATATATTGGAGGGTAGCACAGGAAGGAAAGAGTTCTTGTTTTTTCTTCAGGTGTTCACCAGCAAGTAATTTTGTATTTAGATAATATAGAACACTTAGAGCATATGGAAAATAGAAGGGCAAATCTGTTTTAAAGACAGTTAAGGAATGAGGTAGCTTTCATTTCCCCTAGCCCCACCTGCAGGCATGCACATCGCTTGTGTCAGATTAGTTTCTTATCCATGGTTAAAGATAAGTCAAATAATCACAGTTATTAACTAATCATCTTCTTACTACTGAAGAAAAAGGCAAATAGAATAATATAAAGCACAAGGTGTAAACAATGATTGCTTCAGTTGCAGTCTCTTCTGTATGTCTGTGGAGAACTCTTGACAGAAATCATTCCCTTGAGGGTGGGCCCTCCTCTGGTGGAGTAGTCTGTACCAACAGAGATGCTGCTGTTATGAAAGGACATTGGAAAGTACCTCTGAGATACCCTTGGCTTATCTCCCAGTCCATCAGAAAGTTAACTAAGGAGAAAACGATAACTCTGACAGTACTTCTTCGTGAATATTTGAGACAGTGCAGAAACAACAGCTTTAGATTTGGTGTCTGAATCCATTGATGAGCCATACAAATTAGATTTTATGAGGTCAAAGGATGCAGGAGAAAATTAATGCCTGGACAGAAAAGGTGGCATCCTTCTTGAATAGAAGGGATAGGATTTTGATCTTGGGGAGCCCAGATTTCAGAATCTAGAATAAGCTTATGAAGAACGATAGATAGGTCTTCAGTAGATGTGTATAAGCTCTTAAAACACTTCTCACTGATCATGCTTGCTTTATAGTGTTAAGATTAAGCTGCTCCTAAAGGAAAAATGTCAAACCGAGTTGAGGCAGAGGAGTAACTGTGGTTGTGCATGGACTGCGCCCTGATGTGCTCCTCTACTAGAACAACTGGCTCAGGCCAAGTGATGGCAAGAGGTCCCTTGCTTTGGGGGTGTTGCTGGGAGAAGCAGCAGATCAGAGGCACTGGCGTGCTAGGAGCTGGGACACTGCTGGGCAACACCGCAGCTGGTGAAGGGGAAAGGAATTTTGACTGGGGAGGGTATGAGCTCTATCTGGTTTGTCCAGAATAATGTAATTGCCTTATGAATTGGCCATAGGTAAATACCTTTTAACTAAATTATGCAAAACTGGAGAAGGAATTTAAATATTACTCAAAAGAAGCCATTAAAGAAAGCCTTGAGGCAGACTAATGTTTAACGATCTTAAATTCAAATTATAACTTGCTGTTTCTGTCTATTGAGTCCTACTATTATCTGCTCCAGTAGTAAAGTCTTAACCAGTCTATTAGGAACTGAAATTAAAGTAGTATTTCTATGGCCTGTAAATATTTTATCTTCTTGGCATGGCTTCTGAAATCCATTTCTCACAAATAATCCAAAATCTTAACAATGCTGCTCTGTGACAGAAGTGATGCTGTGTTTATAGTTTGGGTTGTTGTTTGTTTTTTTTTGTTCTTTGCTTTTGCGTGCTTCCTTCTCTTCCTTTGCTTGTAAAGGGCTAAGTGGACAACAATGGATTACAATGTGCCAAAGAAAGCAGTTGTCCAAGTTTGAAGGAGTCTGTGCTTTCTTCCTTCAGAGGCTCCTTAATATTGGAAGCAATACTGTTTGAGGGAATTACAATTTGTCTTTTCACATATTAGCAGTCCATCACCTCTTTTGGCTCTGCAGTGTATCTTTGGAGTATTCTGCAGTTTATCACTGTTAATATATATTCCATCAGATTGTAATTTTTCTTCTTTCTGTTTTTTAGTTGTATTGCTTGCATTTTCAACTGTAGAAGTGGTCCTAATGAAAGACATTACCTGTACCTGCAGTCCTCATCCTGGAAATTTTGAGAGCTTCTTAAATGTAGCATAAACAATCTCTTTATTCATAATTTCTAAAATTATCCCTTAATTCTGTCAAAGGTTACTGAGAAGCGGAATTGTTTCAAATTGTCTCTCACCAGTCCAACAGTCCAGCTTTTAAAATCTTTAAAAGCTTCAGTTAGCCAAATTAAATTTAAAGGACGTTTTTATGTTGTAATGAACACCAAAAAAGATAATTCCTTTTCCATCTTAACTCTCCCTTTGGCAGATGATTCTTGTTACTGAGTTTGATAAGTTATTTAAACATTGGCAGGTAGCTAATCAATTCCCCAATTATTGTCCATGTAATTACCCTGACCCCACTTTTGTCTGTTATCTTGCCAGCAACACCTATTGCCAGCAGCCCCTGTGGAATGGATTCCCTGCTGAGCTAATTGCCTCTAAATTTGATGTTCCTATTACCTTGCCAGCTTCACCTCTAGCCATAAATTGCTTTGTGACAGGCTTTGACAAGACAAAGTGTAAACTGTATTTTCAGCGCGTGGATTATGTTAGAAACCAGTTACAGAAAGACCACTTGAATCTGTTTTGGAGTGAGAAGTTGGAAATAGCTTTCTCATCCTGAAAACCATTCTTCTGCCCCATTGCGTTAAGTTCTTTACCAGCTTTTGTCTCTTTCGCAGTGAATCGTTAATGTTTCTATCTTGTGTGTTTTGAGTATGTGCTCGGCTTCTGGGAAGGCAGATAAGGATGAGAAAGTTCTTGCCAAATCGCCACTAGGTTTGCAGCTTACCTGTATATGACAGTTAAAATTTCAAGTTAAAATTCTTCCCATTAGGTTGGCGATACAAAGTAAAACCCACAATAATTAACAAGAACACATGTTAAAAAAAAAAAAAGACCCGAAAGAATGTGTACATTGAAGTATTATTAGAGGTGTACAGCTGTTTTCTGGGGTCAGGAGAAACAAGTTGGAGTTAATAAATGTCTTACAAATAAGGATGTCTCACTGACACACCTTTCTGTCTGCCACTCTGTGACAGAAAGCAAACATTTCCCAGGAATTTCTTTAATTACCTTGAATGTCTCTTGTAATTAAATAACTGATGCAATTTTGATAAACAGTCAAAAAGATAAATGTCAGCTATCATGTTATCTAGACATTATGTGTAAAGTAGCTCATAAATATCAATGGAAGCATAAACCCCTAAAATTATCGTAATTATAATAGTAGAATTAATTATTTTTGCATGAGTTGCACAATCTGTCCCCAGTACGGAGGCTAAAAGGGCCATGAAGTATATATCGATGCTAATATATAAGTTTAACAACAGTCATATATTCTGTACATACTTGCTGTGCAAGGCTAATACATTTTGAAATGTTTAACTACTTTTCTAAATGTGCTTTCTTGTATGCTGGGACTCTTGTTCAGAAGGTTGAGTACCTTCACTGTATGTGTACATACATATTGAAGAAAAACACGTTAATATTTTGATACCTCTCAGTAATGTAGCTGTCCTCAACATGTTTAT